CTTTGAAATGATTTCAAAAATGCGGTTTGGCATCGACTCGACCAGTTTGTTCAGCAGCTGTGGATCCAAACGAGCCCATGCCTGGCTGATCGCCGTCCGGAGGTCTGCGACATTTGAGAAAGTCCGTCCATGATTGTAAATATCCCTGACAAGTATACCCCAGATATTCTCTATGGGGTTTGCATCCGGAGAACAAGCGGGCCAATCCATAGTGACCACATTTCTCTCCTCCAACCATGCCATAGTAGACCTGCTCACATGGATGGCCGCATTGTCCTGTTGGAAGACAAACTCTCGTCTATCGTGACTGGCGAGAAATGGCAGCAAGTGTCGCCCAAGCATGTCCTGGTAGTCTACTGAGTTCATTTTCGTGGAAACGAAGGCCAGTTCAAGCTTGCCGCCTTGGTGGAATGCTCCCCAAACCATAACACTGCCTCCGCCAAAGTTACGCTTGCTGAAGTACTTCTGCTCCTTGCGAAGATCCCTCCAGTAATAGGCGTACCCATCTGGACATCCAGGTTAAATTTCTTTTCAATCGGAGAACACCGACCTAAAAATAGAATATTTCGTCGTGAATAGGTTTAGAAAGTACGTCGCCACCTCGACCAATGTTCCTTCTGGCAAATCTCAGCCGAGCCTCTTTGTGAGACTCGGTAAGTCGGGGGCAGGACGAAGACGGCATCGCACAATGTTGCTGTTGCGTCTGATCGCTCTCCAAACCGTCATTTTGGAAACGGCCGTCGGTAAGTGGCGCGAACATCGTTGACGCTGATCGTCGAGTTGGATACAAGCCGTCCAATCTGGCGTTCGTCTTGTGCAGTGAGCTTCTTCGGCCGACCAGATCTTCTCTTGCCTCCATAGGATTCCGGCGAACGCAGGTACCGACTGACGACGGAAGGCGAACGAAACAGCTGGCGAGCAATCTCACGATTGCTCAAACCTGCTGTGTGCAGGGCGCTGATCTGAGCCTGCTCTTCGTCGGATAGATGAGATCCTCGTGGCATTTGGTGATATGGTACAGGATAGTCATTGTTACTTATTGCCTTCGTGAAACGGTAACTTTTCTAGAAAAAAAATTTTTTTGGCAAAATTTTCAAAGTGTGTCTATACTTATGATACAGCTCGTATGGAAGCTTATTAATGAAAAATTTCCCAATTTCTTCCAGTTGGCGTGAAAAACGGTCAATAGGGTTTCGAGGTATGCTGAACTCCACGACAACTAGACTTGGTTCTATAAGCTCCTAGGGAGTAGCTCTATGGTACTTTCAGAGGTGTGCCTATACTTATGATACGCACTGTATTAGGAACAGTCAATAGAGCGCTTATAGGAAAGGAACGACCTCATTCGGATGCCATGTGATAAACGTCATCTTCTTGATCATCTTCTCTTTTCACCACATCTTTAATATACTGATTAACATAGAGGAATGATGGTGGTGCTGGCTGAGCTGCTAGATAGAGCAGATGAACAGACACTGGTAGCTGAATGTCGTCTCCGAGTCGCGCCACAACCACACTCTAAAAAAAATACAGATTTCTGCAAACTAGCATATCTCAGTTCGGGCCAGTTAGGGGCGGGGGAGGGGGACATTCTGCACTTTTGCTACTTCCCATCGATGTGTCGACCTAGAGACTTTTTCTTGAGTTGACAGGTTTGACCATGGTGGCTAGACAAGCTCGCACTAGCTTCTGTTCACAACTTTCACCAGAGTGAGAGTTGAACTGGAGGCAGTGAAGCAGTGAGAGTGCAAAATGCCCCTCTCCTGTCGCTGAACTACGCCCTCAATTCTAAACAATATTAGACATCCCATTACTTTGTTGTATTTGTGCAATGCAAAAAAACAACAAACAAGGATACGAGAAATGCTCACCTGATCCAATCTCAAAGTAATACTTCTGCTTTGTGCTATCAAAAAGACACGCTCCAGTTCCATCAGAAATAATTACGCTGTAACCAGATTATTTTCTGCTAATAGTATTCGAATCATTGAAGTTCTTATCGAAAGAAAAAAAAGAAGAAACAGGCTCAAGGACGTAAACACTAAAAGCAGAGTCACACTAGAATACGTAAGTGGGAGAGTAGTCATACTATGGAAGTGTTCCCTACAGCATGGTCTCCAGAATCTCCCTTCGTTTACCTCGGCATTGTTGGGAGTTGAATAAATATTCTTTTGTGCCAGCAAGACTATTAAAAGAAACTTTATCATGGATTCAAAGTTTTTGGCAAATCGTCGACCTCGTACAACTGAGCGTGGCTCGAGACTTACAGTTTTTCCTCGGAACCGCCCAAGGCCTCATTCTCCAGTGTTTCCTATGGAACCTTAGGGGACAACCGAAAATCTCCAGTAAGTACTTAGAGAAGTTTCCATGCATATGGATGATGACACTGGCGCAAGGCACTACCCCTACCCCTTTGAGCGGATGCGATATCCGCTTCCATAGGGTCGCACTACCCGACACGGTGCCGACACGGTTTCAACCAAATTACCTCTGGAGAAAAAAATTCCATCGAAATGTGGCCTCAGTGAGGGAGTACAGAAAAATAGTGTCCAAATTTCAACATAAGAAATCATAACTCACCGATAATGAACGACTCGCTCACTCTTTAAGTTGATCGAGTACGGTGTCGCTTGACTCAAACAGTTTCTCTTCATCGTAAGCACTCTAAAACACTGCGAGTATGCGTGACACTATCTCATTTGAACCCATCCTTTGCTTAGATGGCTACACTGAAAAAGCTTCTATTCACTGACACATTTGATTTTTCTCTAGTCGTTCGATTTTATGACAGAATGAGTTTGATGCATAGGAAAGGTAAGCAAGACACGAAAATTCACTTTATTTCCAAAAAGTCCAAAATTGGGTGAAGGATGAACTTCTAGAAACGTCAGAACTACAGGCCGAAAAAACTGTTTTAGGTAGTTGATCCAGGCGTCTATCCCAATCCTACTCATCGGCACTGTTTTGGGTAAATTTGGTGAGGTATCATGTAGCATGTGATAAAGGCCTATACAGAAGAAGGAAAACTGAGAGAAGAGAATGAGAGCGTACTGAGCCGCCATTCCACCTATCCCCATGGTGAACCTAAAAGAGACTGCAGGCGCGTCACTGCTGGCGTTGGAGCTTATACAATTTGTAATCAGTGATGTTCAAAACACCAGTTGCAGCGTCCAGCGATCAGCGATCGAATGTGGACAATCGCAGTCGCGCGACGCAGTCACTCGAATCGTAAAGTATGAACACGGTCTTACGTTACCGTTTTCTTTGCGCAGATGGGGGGTTTCGCATTTGCGTCCGGGTTCATACGAGCAATCTTCCAGGTAGCCCATCTCTTCCCAATGAACGTGCCCGCCCGCTGTCACGCAAGGGTCGCTCTGATTCTTCTCTTTTCAAACCCGCTCTTTTGTTGAACCGTCACTACCTCAAGGGATTTACCGTTGTAAGATGACACTTTTTCCAGTTATGTGCTTTCCCAAGCAAATATCATGATTGCGCTGCGTAGCTTCAACACACGGAGTAATTACAAGTTGGGTCGGTAATACAAACCATCTTAGATGCACATTTCGTGATGCGCGTATGGGCGGCGACTGTCAAACATTCTGCCTTTGTTATTCGTCAGTCTTTCACTTCTCAGTGGCAGAATGAGGGGTGTACCAATGAGAAAAGCACAAGGTCACCTACCAACTGATTAACGCGGAAAGTGCCTTCAACGTGCCTTTTCGTTTTTCGGACAGTCGTGTGAGACTGTTTACGGAGTTGCTAAGAATTAACGGCCCTTTATCAATGCGACCCCGATCGGTCAACACCGAAGATTATGCTATTTTATCCATAATCTGGGGATCAAAACTATCTATGACTACTGAACCTTTCTTCACCTCTACCCCCCCCCCCTCCCCCCTTCTTTCCATTATAGGCCCTCTCGGCACTAGGCTATGGGCTTACTTTTTTGTATAGGTCGGCCAAGCATTGAAATAGCATTACAATCCCAGAAGGGCAACGATTTCATTACGCATTCCAACAAAAGATTGATCGGCGTCGAGGGGGTTTATCATTTCATAGCTTTATATCTTCTGCACTTATAGCAACTTTTAGATGTGAAATAGGAGTTTGGCACTCTTAAAGGACCTTCTTTCTCTCATTCATTTGTGTTCTTACCTTTGCATTGTTTTATGTTGGCATTAATTTCATTTTAGTCGCTAACAACATTGGGGGCATTCAAAGGACCCCTTACGCGAAATAGCGTTTCCACAACAACTTTTCGATTTTTTTCTTGGTTTTAGGATTTTTGCCTTCTGACTTTTTGGGTCTACTACGCTGCCTCCCTGAGTTTCTATTTTAAGAGGGAGGAGCTCCGAGGTAGACCAAATTCAACAGCAGCACTTCTTCTGAGTGAAGGAAAAGGAAAGGGGTTTTTTGAATGCTCGCAAGGCTGTAAGCCTCTCATTGTTCTCACGTTAACCTGTAAGGTCTCTCCCTCCATTTCATTGCCTCTGTTTCATGCATGTCTATGTGTTATCTCATTTCTATGTCGCTTCCATGATAATCAGCTTAAATAGTGCAAAATATAGACTTTACTATTGGATGTTTTATAGGACTAGTTTTAAAATTGTTTTGTGAAACGTTCAATCTGAGCAGTCCAGATTTCTTTTTTTATACCTCGATTTTCCATTGTGAAATGTTCTCCGTTCGTTCGTATGTACATAGGTTGTTCTACTCTCACAGTAGCTGTTTTTTATACAGTTGTGATAACCTTCACTAATAAACA